GCGGCGGAGGAGGGGATGGAATGGAGGGGCAGCGGAGGAGCGGAGGCTGGGGAGGGAGGGGCAGAGGAGGAGGAGGAGGGGGTTCTTGGGAGGAGGGGGAGGGGGACCACTGACTTGAATCTCCCATCTTTTTGTGCGTCGTTCAGGCATCGACAGTCGAACATTGCATGCCAATCACTGTGCCCACCACATCTCACGGCCTACCCGTGACGCCAGCCAACCACTCACCACATCCAACGGCCGACTGCAGTCGATCAATCTCTCTCTCTCTCTCTCTCTCTCTCTCTCTCTCTCTCTCTCTCATGCCCCGTTCGATCCATCAAGCCTAGTAGTTTGTGCTGCAAGACGTGTCCCATCTCTCTCTCTCTCTCTCTCTCTCTCTCTCTCTCTCTCTCTCTCTCTCTCTCTCTCTCTCTGGGTGTGTTAGTGTCTGTGTCTGTGTAGTTATGTTCGCTATACACAACTCCATAAAAAAAGCACGACTAAGCTAAACTGTTTCGTCAAACTTCCACCGACTCATCAGGAGGTTGAACCCCGACAGTCTCACCATGTCGTGTGTGTGTGCGTGTGTGTGTGTTGTGCGCGCCGCCGTGCGTAGGATTTCCCGTGCCGCCACCCAAAAGGGCAGCCTACGGGAACCACTTTGCCCGTTGGGAAGCCCGTGCACAGAAACGGCCCGCTCCAACGGGCAAGCAAACCGGTTTCCGGCGAAAGGCCTCGATCGGGTCYTGCCTGATCAATCTGGGCCGTCGGGCCCAAGGTACCGGGCCAACAGCCTGGATTGACGCGTGATCTTAAGACCGCGCTCCAATCCGGCCCGTCGATCCGGCAGGACCCGACGGCCCGGATGACAGATTTGTTACATGATTCGGTCGATCTGGGCCGTGGGTCGGTAGGACCAACGACGGCCCGGATGTTAGATTTGTCCCCTTAGCGATTTTAATAGTGTAGGGAAGTGCCAAGGAAGGTATATGTATTGAAGAAGTGACAAAAGTGACAAAACATATCAATTCTAAGTGCCAAGGAAGGTACAGACTCACTTTCAACTGGTCCAGGTGATGTAACATACATCGGTTCTCCTGCTTCACCATTTACTCGATAAGGTGTGTACTTGGCCACTAGGTAATAACCCACCGCCTCCAGTGGAACGCAGAACTCCTGAGTGAATGGCATTATCAAGGGGAAAACGTCAGACAGATCCAAAGCAACTTCAGTGTTCTTCTGAAACTCTGTCTTTCGAGTTGAATATGAGCTCCTATGACTAGGAAAAAAACTGTTCGCTATCGAAATTGCCATCTGTAACAAAACATTTGCTTCTTGTTCACAAACGGTGGACTTTCCTTACTTGTCGAGGGTTCACGCTAATCCCCTAACACACTTGCCATACTTGTCCAGGGTTCATCCTTATGCATCACTTCAGATAGGAGATGTCATTAGTGGCACGTCCACAGGGCTCAAACACACACAGTACAAGTGCAGTGCCCAAAGAACAGGTAGATATAGCACAGACATATAGGCATGGTAATAAAGGATCACAATGGCCACGAAAAGCACGAATGATCATGCAACCATGAACACACACAAACATACACAGAAGACAAAGAGGAAGTCATGAACGACACAAAGCACAGACATAGGACATCCTCCATCACATTTTATTTATACTGTGCATACCACACAATGCATACTGTACATCAAAGAGTGCACGGAATTCACTACATATTGCATCACATAAACAAACAGACTTAGTATAAGCACACAAGGATAGAGGCCTTGTACAAGGGCCCCGTTCAACAAAAAAAAAAAAAGCACACAAGCATGGTGCATATACGTAATAAACATATACCTAGGACATACATCACATAGATAGCACACACACTAATACTGACAGGACAATACATGCGTATAGCAAATAGACAACACCCACATACATATATCACAGTCATCCAAAAAAGAAGGCTAAGCTCCTTCCCTTCTCCTCTGGAAAAAGGAACAGTTGATTCAATCTTCTGACTGCAGAGCAGCTGATGTTGAAGTTAATAATGCAGGGCCTTGCAGGCAGCAAAAAATACAACTAAAAAAACAGCCTGGATGCACTTAAAAAAAAGAACACTGCTAAGTTCCCTTCCCCTCTGGAAAATGGAGCAGTTGATTCAGTCTTTTGACCACAGAGCACATGATGTTGAACCAAAAAATGCAGGCATGAGAAAACAACAACTGAAAAAAAAAAAAAACAAAGCCTACATGCACAGAGTCCCCACCTCCCTAACCCCACATAGTGCCCACGTCCCTGCCCTTATTCCCTTCTTTACACATTGTACTATCCACCTGTGCAAGCAACACTACAGCAACCAGGAATGTTCTAGCTAAAATATGTTTCACACAAGCATACCATCAAGTGTGGTTTTGCGAGGTCCAGGCACACACCGCGGCGCACTTTGTACATAGCATATCATGGCAGTATTATGCAAAAGCAAGATCGTGGCATGTATGCAAAACGGAAATAGAAGTCTAAAACCACAAAAACACACACTATGGCTGCAATATTATGCAGAAAGCAAGATCGTGGCATCACTGGCATGTATGTAAAACCAAAAAAGTTGAAAAAACACGCTATGGCTGCTTCTCGCTTTCTGCTTTTTACTCCTCATGTTTAGGTTTGTTGGAACTCGACCCTATAAGGACTACCACCTTCAACAATGTCATTATCCTATCAGAGATAACATCAGCCTGTCAGTCACAGAGCATAAGAAGCAGAGTCAGAATATTTGCTAGCCATCTGTTGGAGTGAGAACGGACAGCTAGAAACTCACACGAGCAACTCTGGAATTGCTGATTGGTTCTAGTTCAGAAGCCAGGTACATGTTATCTTCACTCTTGTGCTTCGTCTTGAACCACTGGATGCGGCTGGGACCCTCGTCTCCTCCAACGTACTTGCCAGTAACTGAGAGAGTGCTACCTTCCCTCACATCTCCAAGGACATTCAGTTCAACCACTCTTGGTGGTGCTGATGGGAAAACAACAAAATCACAGAGCACAGACCTGTCACAACAGCAGGCTGATACGAATTTGGATTTAACGCGCTGGTGTTTTTTTATCAGTAGGAATACTACTGGGAAGTTGGTGGGCTTACCATGAGCTAGGTTGGGGCGGTTGGTGGTTTTGGGATCCCGTAGAAAATGCATCTTTGATGCCTTGGGTATTAGCTACAGCTTGTATTCATTGAGTCATTTCATTTCAGTTGAATTCCTGGACCTTTCTACACATTGTTACATTTTTATTCAGTCTTTTAGGAACTTCTTTTGTTCATTCGGATTCTTTTTTTCTCCCGAACCTCGAGCTCCTTTCTATTTGTGGGGAGCAGCACCTGCCAGAAACCAGGCCCAGCATCCCAGCATTGAGAAAAATCCAGTGTAAAAGCAAAAAAAATGAATCTGGTGCGTACTTCAGTCATCATTTACAGACACATTGACCAGAACTAGAAGATTCTGTTCACTATACACTGCAACAATGGCAAGCGGAAATCTTTCATTTTGGTTCCAAATCAATAATGGTTTCTGCTAGGATACCTGGTCGGACACCAGGGCACCCTGGACCTGACAGGAAGGTCACCCGGCCGCCTGGCTGGGTTCCCAGGCTGACTCAGCACCAACTGGAGCAAGGCCATTGGGAGGTCCAGGTCCACAACCAGGCTGCCTGAAATCTTTCTGAGGGGCCAGCAGAACCCTGTTTTTTTTTTTTTTTTTCTTTGGCTATGGAACCTTAGCGGAGATCAGAATGCTCCGATTTAACACGCCCAGTTTTCTGGGTATTCGAATGTCAAAACGGAGCAAACTGGGCACCAAACTGTGCGTTCATGCAGCCATTGTCGCCCTGCTGCCTCTGTCTTCATCACACAGAACAACCACCACGCGAAGAAGCTCCCACAGCATCACCTCCTCCCCTCACAAGCATTTGCCACGAGGAAGGTAATTTGACTTCTCCTCCTCCTCCTCCACCTTCACCTTCGTTTTCTTCTTCCTCCACTCCTCTTGATCTTCTTGTCCTCCCATCCTTCTTTGTTCCTCTTGTTCTTTGTGTACGTAGAGAGAAAGAGCCCTTTGTTCCTCTTCTCCTCCCATCTTGTTTCCTCTTCCTCATCTTTGTTGCTCTTCTTCTTCTTCCTGTAGATAGAGATATAGAGCCCTTCCTGCCACCTCGCTGCCCACATCTCGTCCCCTGCGTCCTCCTCTTCCCAGCACCCGTCATGGCTTTCCCCCCATCACACTACCTCTACCCCTCCACATCTTGCCAAATCTTCTCCAATTATTCACACCTTCTCTCCCCTCCCTCGCACTCCCCCCATCGCATGCCCCCTCTGCTGCACCATGGTTCCAACTCTCTTACCCCCATCGCACCCTCTCCACCCACACATTGCACCCCCTCTAGCCTCCCACATCTCGCGCCCTTGCTTTCAATCAATCATGCCACCTCACCCCTCCATAGCACCCCTCTCCCTGTCCTACCACCTCTGCCCTAGCCATCATTCCAACTCTCTCACCTCATCGCACCCTCTCACCCCTACTTTTTATTTCCCCCCTTCTCCACCACCTTCGTCCAACTTCCTTCCTCTTCATCTTCTTCTCCCCCCATCCTCGTTCTTCTTCGTCTTCCTATCCTTCTTCATTCCGCTTCTCCTCCTACCATCTCCATTCCTCTGCAGCTTATTCGTCCTTCTTCATTCCTCTTCCTCTTCTTCTCCTTGTTCCTCTCGCTCTCCTTTGTTTAGGTAGGTAGAGAGAGTCCTTTGCATCACCTCTCTGCCTACATACACCACCTCTTCCCCTGCATCCAAGACCTCTTTCCCCCCCATTACGCCCGGTCCCCACTCCATCGTCTCCCCCCACATTGCACCACCTCTCGTCCCCCATCCTTCCATACTCTCCCCCCAGATCTTCCGTCGGTCGCACCCTCAGCCCCTACCCAACATCCCACCACCTCTGGCATGCCATTGTTCCCGCTCTCTCCCCTCATAGCACCTCTCCACCCCCCATCGCAACACCTCTCTCCAACCCCTGGCCACACCCTGCCCCCACATCCGCCACTTACCCCCATCCCATCCCTGAACTCCACCACTCTACCCACAAACCGCCTCCCCCAGCCCCCCACCCCACCTCGCGAATCATGCCAATTGTGCCACCCTCACCACCGCTCCCTGATTAGGCAGGCTCTCTTCCCCATCACACCACCTCTCCTCCCATTGCATCACTTCTTCCCCCTCACCGTTCCACTTCTCCCCTCCCCCATCATGCTGCCTATTCCGGCATCATGCCACCCTCCCCCCTCTTTCCCCCCTGAACCCCCTGTCCACCCCCCATGTTGTGCCAGCTCTTCATCTTCTTCTTCTCTGATCCTTGTTCCTCTTTGTCTTCCTCTTCGCCCTCCATTCCTCGTTTTCTCATCTGGTCTCCGTTCCTCTTCCTCTTCTTCTCTGTCCTTCTTCGTTCTTCATCTCCCACCTTTATTCTTCTTCCTCTTCTACTCCTTCCTTCTTCATTACTCTTCTTCTCCTTGAAGAAGAGGAGCCCGTTCTCTATTTCGCTTGGTGGCCACAAGACTTTCTCATTTGCCTGAGGTACCCCAGGTCCGCCTGGGGTACTCCAGACTGGTGACCAGCCAGGCATGTTGGTAACCAAGGGTTTCTGGACATTTGTGAAAATAATTGAAATCCTATTTGTTTACCTCATTACCCATTCCACAAGAAGACATAATTAAAATCCTATTTGTTTACCTCATTACCCATTCTACAAGAAACATCACATACGCCACAAATATTGGATTACTTTGTGCAGTTGAATCAATGACGATTTACAGACACACTGATCAGAAATACACTCATGGTCATTACTAGACTACCCGCACGCCCTACCCGGCATACTGGCCAGGTGGGCATTGGGGGTTCTCTGCCTGGTAAATCCAGGTGTGCTTTGGAAAACAAAAGTCTGACATCAGGCTGGGACTGTACATGGGTGAACAGTGGGAAATCAGGCCTTCCCAGGGGGTGCTGGGAGGTATGACCAGGTTTTTGAAAGGGGCTAAGGACTAGTAAGGACTCAGGAGGTATATTTTAACACTTTTTTTATCTCGAAGGCACTTTGTGGAGACCCTCGGGCAAAAGTTGCTTTTACTCCAATGTTGCATAAATTTGCCACAAAATACTTTTTCATATTTTGAAAAGGGTGACGGCCTTGAGATATCATCATCGAACTGATGGGCCACAGGTAATTAAGAATGATTTATTCTGGTCATCTGATTGTATCTGGATTTGAACTTGGGTCTGTATTTCAACAATTCGTGGATGTGCAACCTGAGCTCGGCCCGTCATATTTTTATTTCTGATTTATAAAAAATATATTTTGAGCTGGGACTACCCGTGACCCACCATGGGGCCCACCTGGTCAGGGCCACCCTTGTGGATACCACAGCAGCCAGAGCCAGTCGACACCACCCAGATAACAGCATAGGTTCATCTATGGCAGGCTTAAATGCAGTCCACTTTACAGAGCGTGACCCGGGGAGGGTTAATAACTTTCAAGAAAGAGATTCAAGAGAGGATAATTTGCAAGGTTTTGCAATTGACCTATGGAAGAGGGCCCATTTTCCACAATGTTGATGATGAACCCTTTGGTACTACCAACCTGGCTGATGTTGCACATCGTCTCCATACTAATCCCTCTAATCCCTTCTACCCGAGCTCTTGCCCCAATGGGAGAGGAGGGAGGTGAAGTCTTAAACCACCAGTACTTGGCCCAGCTATCGACCGAGCCTGAAAACGGGCTGCGCGCCGTTTCATGCCGACCCCCTAGCGCAACAAGAAAAAATTGTTTTGGCTGGCGGATCCGGCCTTTGAGGGCCGGTACCCCGAGCCTCCGGAAGTTGCAGGGAAACGACAACGCCACGGGGCTGATGTATGGGCCAAGCACTGGTGGTTTAAACACACAGGTCAGGGAGAGGATTGGGTCATCGACGGATCTGGTTTCATAAGCAGATGGATAGATACCAGGGATGATTTTCCTGCCAAAGGAAATCAAGTGGCACCACCTGACGCCTGTGGCCAGCAGACAAGCAGTCTCCTTCCACTTGGAGTCTCATCAATTGCTGGCCTCACGACGTTGCCGTTATCGTGCCCGGCGTTTGATGGGGCTGGTGCTTGAGGGAAGCCAGAGGATACCAAAACAGCTTATAGCATTTCCACTCCAAACTAAGCACCTTGGAAACATCGATAAAGTCTGCTGAAGACTCCTGATGAAATGCAATGGAAGGGGCAAAAGGACCGTGAGTGTGCACAGTGCGCATCCATTTTCCTGCAATTAACAAACTCACCTAATGTTGCCACTGGTGTAGTAACACTTTGACACTCGCCTTTCACACCTGCCAGAAAAGAACGATCGTCAGCTTTCCAAGTACAAACCAGATGCTGGAGTAAACAATACTAAATAAACTTATCCTTACTGCCAATGTCTTTACCCCAGATATCCATTTTGCACCAGAAAACGAACACAACAAAGTTCGGTGGCAAGGCAGGAACCAGACCCATCCAGAGATATTTGGAATCGGGATGTCCGAAGCCTGCATACCAGGTATGTAGATGCCCGGGGAGAAAAGAATCAGTATATACATAAACTCTTTGTGATGACATCTGTTTTATCGAGTTCTTGAAAAGCGAAAAGAACAAGAGCATTATGGTGCCTAGTTAGCAATTTAAAGACCAAAGCGCCTTTTCAGAAAAAAAGAATGTACCTGAGACAGCATGGTCAATACGAAAACCATTGAAAAAACAACGAATGATCCTGCCTAGCCTACATGCTAATCAACATAAACACTAATTTTTCAGGGCCTGACAATTCCACGAACAGGAGAATCTCTCTCTCTCTCTCTCTCTCTCTCTCTCTCTCTCTCTCATTTTTCAGGGCCTGACAATTCCATGAACAGGTGTATGTGTGTGTGTGAGAGAGAGAGACTTGAACACACACACACACAGGGAAAGTGAAAAAACAGAAGCAACAAAGCACACGCTATGAGAATGATGGCACACTAGGGCGCCCACTTTCTCCCATATGGCTGCTGTTCCCACTTCCCCGATCCGGATATCTACACCACAAGAGCACCTACTTCAAGCCCGCCTCCAGTCTGATTTATTCCAACTAGTGTTGAAGTCCGTCGGAGAGAACAAGCGATCATCCTTGCCCCCCACCCTCCATATGTGTAAATATTGTCACATAGTATATACATATTGTATTATTGTCACATAACTATGAACTAAAAGAGCGCACTTTGCGAAGCAAGCCGCAAAAAAAAAAAGAAAAAAAAAAAAAAAGAGAAGACAAACATGAAGGGCACACTGAAACCATTCATTTTTCTCATTCTTATTTTAACTCCCCTTTCACCATGCCTCTCACGTACAAGGCAGTATATATATATAACAGTTTGTCACAGCCCCTCGTTTGTTGTCCTCTTCTCTCTCTCTGCCTACGGTTTACCGGGCAGTTCTGTTTGTGACGATATATATATATATATATATATGCCCCACCCTTCCTCCCCCTCCCTCTCGATCTTCCCTCGCCTTTATTCTGCATAACACCCTCTCACTTCACTGTTTCCCCTCCATTCTACTGCCTTGACTCGACTTTTTCACAGGAACTGCTTCACTGCTTAATCACTTTGCAGCTACCAACAGTATTCGGGTCTATCGTAATGAACAGTATTGAGGTCTATCCTAATGAACACTCGGTAAGGTGGGGACCACCTGGAGCAAAAAATGTCAGACATCTGTGCCAGAAGGATCCCTGTGGGCCAACTGGAGAAAAAGAAGTCGAACATCTGCTGTGCTGGGACATATCAGCGACCATCATGTGCTTGATTGCTCATTTAATGACACTTGAGCGTCAACGGTGTTCTGCAAGCACTTAGTTGTTCCGCTTTATTCTGATCAGCAGTGATGCCAGGTAACTTTTGCCAGGTACATAAGGATTAGACCCATAAGAACTTCAAAAATCTCCTACGCACTGTACGCAGTTCACAATCCAGTCATCCTGTCTGGGAAACGAATCAAACCACTCCATTCATTGGAAGTTCATTTGGAATTTCCATTTACCTTCTGAATTGACAGGTGTGTATTGGAACATTATTTTGGCACCAACATCCTCCTCCGATAGCTGATACTCTGATGATCCCTTTTTCACTAGGATGTATACGCTGGCCAAGAAACACAAAGTCGCATGAAAAGCATGACATGAACTCATGTCAGGAAAAAGAGGCAGTGCACAGGAAGAAAGGATAGGAGATTTTGAAAGAAGTAATCACTTATCAAATGCGAGCACCAACAATGTGTGTACAATGAGGAAAGTTTTGAGCAACCAGCTTAAAGAATTCTGTATTATATTTTGAACAACCGGCACCAGGACAATTACAGAAAACCGAACTACTGAAAAACAAGCTCTACGAAACAGATGAGAGGGAAACATATACACGACTGAAGAGTGTTGATTGATCAAACCTTCGCGCCTTTGAAAAAAAGCCATTCATCCATACAATCACTGTTGTACTTTTCCTGTACACTTCGTCCTATGTGCAGGCTTTGCGTGCATTGTATCATATTCGGTATTCACAGAATTCTGGCAGAGATTTGAAAGAAAAGAAAGATATGAATGACAATGAGTGATGACAGCCCTGTCCCCCCCCCACCCCTTGAACCCAGTCATCAGTGGAGCTATCGAGCAGTTGCTATCAGCCGTGCTAAGGACACAACCGTGCTACAGTCAACTCTCTTCACCAGCTGTAGGCTAAGTGGGATGATATCGGATCCTGCATGCCCCCTCACCTCGGCAAGCGACGAGCAAGAGCAAGCATGTGCCCGCTACGATGTCTTCCGCAAGGATTGAATCCCTCCAGTGCCGTCGAGAGCGCAGGTATCCCCGACCCGCCTTGTCACTATGGACCCCCACAGAACTGCCAACGACCTTCGGAATGAGCCAACTGGCCCGGGCGCTAAGAACCTACGGAGGCAACAGGGACAAGGGGGAGGGAACGGCCAGTCAGGACGGAGAGGGAGGGGATTCTGATTTTTTTACATTTACATTCCTTGTTTCTCTCAAGCTCAAATCAACCATAGAATATTGGTAGAGGCTACTGTTAAGCTCACTCACACTAGGGATTTTCTGGATGTATCTGACTACAATTACAGTCAGCGCTGGATATGTGTGACAGCAGTAAGTGCACAAATAAGCCCAAAAACATCTAGTCTGAGTATGGCCTTAGAGAAGCCCTTTCCTTTCTTACCTTCACTGTCGTCCTTTTCTTTTTTTCTTTTTTTCTTTTCATCAAGTTCCATCAGGATCCCGGCCCCTGATCTGTTCATGAACAATTACATGTGTGTGACATGTGTGTACCCTTAGCCACATTCGCTGCTCCCCTGTTGGGCAAACTGAATGAAGAGAACAAGGTTTATATGCACATTTCCCTTCACTTTCCCAGCAGCATATGATAAATAAACATACCTAAAATTGGAAATCCTGACCCTTCAACTGTGTCAATTGATGCAATCACTGCATCAATCATCCGCACACAACAATATCTGTTTGGTGAGAGATTTCCCCAAATCATTGACCACAGTTACTATCAAAACAAAACGGTGAAAACAAGGCCATACTGCCCCAATACAGAATACATGTGACTGCCATAGGGTACATTCCCGCTCCTTGCCAGTCAGGACACCCAGCAGGTAACTGGCCCACAGGTCCAAAACACGGGACAGCAAGCAAACGACTCTTCCGGTGTCTGCTGTCCAGTCCTCAATACTACAGCATCCCATACTACAGTCCCTCATTTAAGTCTGTTCTACTGATGACAATAAAGTTATGTACACTATCTTGCTGGTGTGCAAATGTTGGTGGGTTTGCACACGATGTTCCAATTTCTATTTTCTATTTTTTTAGAAGGTGCACGCCAAGGGTTGGGTCGTATAGAGCCGGTAGGTTGGGCTCAGGAATGGTTTAGGGTTTAAAGGATGGCGGTAAGACTGGTCTCGCCAGGTCAGGGGAGGCAGTGAAGCAGGCAAGCGGCAGAGCTGTAGAGAAAATACAAGCGAACCTGGGTAATGCTCCCAGTATTTTCCTTGAAACATGTTGCACAAGGGACACTGGACCCGGTTTCCAGCAGGTGCCACTCCCCACCAATGGACCGGAGCCATCCGCAACAAGTCCTCGATCCTGGTGGTTCTCTTATCATCCGGGAAACGCAGGAAATTGCAGGATGTTTTTCATTTAAAGCACCACTACCTTTTCCCATGCCAGCCTCGGGTGGGCCTCAGATCTTTTAGGACCCTACGAAACATCAGCCGCCGATGAGATTTACTAACGACAGCCGTCGTTGGGCCCAGCCTCCAATTCTTTAGGATTAGGCTATTTTCCCATTTCCCCACCAATGGGAAAAGTAGTGGTGGTTTGAAAAACGAAAAAAAAAAGAAAGGCTGCCATGCGTATTGTGCTGTGCAACAGCCCTTTTACGACCTAAGCTTTACAAATCCAGTAACCAGGCAGGTTCTTTTGAGCTTAGCTAATTGCATTAAGCATGCTTGTATCTTCCGCAAGACGAGGGATACTGGGTGAGACTCTGGTAGTATCCGACAATTTGCCTGAACCATCCTATGTGTTGTGTAAACAAATGTCAGAGAATCTTTTTCCTCCAAATGAACCAGCTACTTCAAAGTTGTCCTTCATCAAACACAAATCATGGTGAGAGTTGTTTTTCCTGAAAGGATGCAAAGGTAATCCACCCATGCTCAGCTGAGAAGCACGCACTATTGTGCTCAGCCGAGAAATACACGCTATCATGCTCAGCCGAGAAGTACATCACTATCATGCTCCGCCGAGAAGTACACACTATCATGCTCCGCCGAGAAGCACACACTATCATGCTCGGCCGAGAAGTACACACTATCATGCTCAGCCGAGAAGTACACACTATCATGTTTAGGTCTGAATAAGACAAGCAGGTAACCCATGCTTGTCCCTGGATTTGGGTTGGCACTATATCCATCACCAGCATTCCGGCATGTGAACTTCTGCGGGTATGCATCAGATATTCCCTAGGTGTGACTGTTTGGGCAGGCACCTGTTGGAAAGGAGAGAGTGTGGGCAGGCAGCCACAGCTCAAGCTGGAGGAGTGTATCATGCTGCCCTGCTGCCACCTGTTGGAAAGGAGAGAGTGTGGGCAGGCAGCCACAGCTGCGTGTGTCGGTGATCGCCATCGCCAGTGGGAGAGTATGAATAAGGGAACAGAAGGGGGACGACCAGGGGAAGGATTGGGAGAGAGAAGAGACCAGAGAGATGGAGAAATAGCTGCATTCATGGAGACAAGGTTACATGTTTCTGCTTCGCCCGCAATAAAATAAAGGAAATAGTGTTCAAATGCGGATGGGTGGGGATTTGTTGGTTGTGGGGTGCGTTTGGGCGGGGTCGAGGTGGTTTTTAGGCTCTCCTGTGCACTTCTGTTGACGCAGTCTGAGACCGGGGAGATGGAGAAATAGCAGCATTCATGGAGAAACGGATGTTTGGGGAGGAAAAACATTAGATTGGCCACACTAGAGAGAGATTTCCTCGATGGAGAGAGACTCCCACCATACCTAGAATTGGTACGCGGTGTCAAGTTGAGGAAGGATACTGTAAAGGAGTGGAGAGGGACTGAAGCTGAGAGCTATTCTGTGTTCCAGTTCATTCTCAACAGCACACTATGGAGCTCACAAGCAACAATTAATCAGGCCTGCCCCGCCACGCCATGTGGCAAGTATCACCACTCAACCCCCTTTCCTTTTTTTCTTTTTTCTTTTTAAACCGGGCCTTATGGTCCTGGCTCCTTCTATTCTGCGGAGCGTCAGTCCGGTTCCTATTCCACCGGCAAGTCAGAGTATACATTACATTGAAAAAAAACACACACACTTCCTTCCGTTAGGCCGAAGGACCCCTGAACAGCATTGATTGCTCCACCTTGGTGGAGGATTGACTGTCAGCTTGCCATGTCCATCTCTTTCCTCTCAGATCTGGAGACCAGATCTGCCCAATAATGCAATGCCACCTGGAAAGAGCTCATCCTTTATCCCTGTTGGCCTGTGTCCTCCCTACTCATCTGCCCTGCTCCTGARGCATGATGTCCCCTGTTCCACTTTATCTGTCCCCTTTTTTTTTTAAATCATCACTAAAACCCAAAACCCTAACATCTCAACCTGKGTACTCRTACTCCAACAGCCCTTGGAGTCAGCCGTTTCCCCTTGTTCTGGTCTTTTGGTGCCATCCKTTCATCTCCATGTTATCCATCCATAGCTGTGGTATTTTAGGCTTGTCAAACTCCCGTGGAAGTCTGATCAGGAGGTGTTTTGCCCGTCCACCGTTATCTGTTGTCGATAGCCTCTTCCTGAGTTTGAGTTGTGCCAGTCTTTCCGGCAATTGCAGTCATCTCGTGTTCAAGAAGTGATTGGTCCAACCTCCATTAACCGCTGTTGGAAGCTCCTTTCTGGCATTGAGTTATGCCACTCTTTTCAGCAGGTACGGTCCTCTCATATCTCTGCAATCTTGCCGTTTAACAACCAACTCTTGTAAACCTCAGTCTCTCGTTCTTACGCTGTTCTTTGTCTTCTGTCCAGGCTTGCTTGATCTTCCTCCAACTGCAAAGGATCTCGGCTTGTATCATCGTTCTGGTTTCCACCCAAACTTTCTCCCGTGGGCTTGACCGTCCTTCAATTGTTCCGCTGCATCTCTTTTTCCATTTGACCCGTAGCGTTACCTTCCTGATGAGTCTGGTCCAGACCTTCTCTGTCTTTCGAATCTGATCAGGGATGTTAGTCAAAAGGAGAAGCTGGATGGGTTGCTCAGGGAAGGGGGTTGAGAAGAGTGAGTCCCAGAGTGCCAAGGCTCTCGCCCAGTATTCTGTCGCCTCCTTGGAATACACTAGACAGTGAACTATGTCCTCTACCGCCCCCTCCGTGCAGACTGTGCATGTTTCTGAACTATTGAAAGGGTTCTGCAGGGCATAGTGTGGAGTAGGAGGGGTTCGGAGTCTGGATCTTTTGTTTAAGACCAATTTTTAAATTGGATTTTGCCATTCACTATCTCTGCAACTCTGTTTTTGCTGAGCCAGATTCTTTTAAAGTTCCTTTGGCTCCTTT